TGCGTTCTCGAGAATTGGAACGGAATTCCGGCTGAGGCTGGTGACGTGTCACGAGAACGCTCAAGAACGCAAATTGAGAAACGGCCACCGAGAGGATCGCGGTAACCAGCGGACCTCTGAGGCTAACGTTAGCGCGTCTGCAGCAGCCCTCTCTCTGCATAGCCGTGTGTGAAGTACCGCTGGCTCTGATGGCGATTCTTTTTGTTTTGTTTGGCAAAATGCTCATTTGATTCGTGTTTTTCTGACTGTGTTCATTACTAAATGAAAAAAAGTAAGAATTTATTATTATTTAGAGATTTATGCTGCGTGCTCCCGTTCTCCCAGAGTCCAGACTTTCCTGTGTTCTTCTCAGGAACATACATTTAATTTGATCAAAATTCACTCATCACTAGTATCAGATCGGTATCAGTTATCGGCCAATAAGCTCAGCAATATGTTTGGATATCGGATCGGTGCATCTCTGATTATACATCCAAGATAATTACTTATCAGACGAAGTCTATTGTAACACCTAATGATGGATCCCCTTAAGAAAGAAACTCTTTGTTTTCTTAGAACAACTTTCTGACTCCCTGCTTTCTTTGTTCGCTTGCAGGTTTATGAATATGAAATTGAGATCTATGGTGTTTGAAGATTCGCTTTTTGAAGAGTGTTTTTTTGAGGATATCACTTCCAGCAACACTTTTTTCAAAAACTGCACGTTTATTTCCACCCTCTTTTACAACACTGGTGAGGAGTTCGCACACAAACACTCTGATTTATTGGTGCTATAAAATCATAAAAAAAATCTGAGAAAATGTTATCCTACTTTAAATAAAAGTTGTTTTTTTTACAAATATTACTATATATATATTTATTTATATATTTGAAAGAAGGGGCTCTTTTATGACAATGCCTGTGTTGCTCTCCTCCTGTCCATCCCCCTCTTCTGCCTTCACAGATCTTTTCAAATACCGTCTGATCAACTCTAAGCTCATAAACAGCACTTTCCTGCACAACAAAGAAGGCTGCCTGCTCAGTGACATCAGTGATGAAAATAACGCCTACATGGTCTACTTCGTCAGCTTCCTGGGTACCTTGGCAGTGTTGCCAGGTAACATCGTCTCTGCGCTCCTCATGGACAAGATTGGACGTTTGAGGATGCTAGGTAAGACAAAGAGGATGGGGCAACAGTGTGGAGCAGCTGCTAAAGTTGTTTGTGTGAAACAGACATCCTATTTGACTATTTTGAATGATAAATAACCAATAACTGGAAAAAGTTGCTTTTGTCTCTTGTTTTGCTAAACTACAGCAAATACGACTGTACACATTTTGTCAAATTGCACAAAACCCACACAAGATCTATTAAAAGGCCTTTTATCTGATTAAATCCTTACATCCTGTAGAGCAGCGGTCCCCAACCTTTTTTGCACCACGGACCGCTATATGTCAGACAATATTTTCACAGACCGGCCGGGAGGGTGAGGGCGGGGTGGGGGGATACGATCAAGTAAAATGATAAGATCAAATACAAACAGCATAAAAAAAAAACAACAAGCCGGTCCCATCAAGACGTATTTGGAGAAAATGACAGACGAAGTATGCTCCTGATGTCCAGTCTGCTCCGTAGCTTTGTTTTGGTTGCTGTAACCGCAGAAAATCCCGCTTCACAAAGATAGGATGTTATAAATAGGATGAGTCTTGAACTGAATCAACCTGTATCAAGAGGCACAGATGCACCAACTGATGTAATTGGGAGAGAATACCGCGATTTTTTAAATATTTTTCAAAATAAAACATCACTCAGACTCTGATCGTCCATAAATTATATACCAAATGACCCATGGACCAGTACCGGTCCGCGGCCCAGTGGTTGGGGGCCGCTAGCCTCGTGAGACCATCCTGATCTCGCGAGCTTTCAAGGTTTCACTCGCAGATCAGTCTGGAGACTCTCCGTTGAAGAAAATTTGGAGCCGTTCACCAAACGAACGTCCAATCAGCGTTGGCTTTGAGGCGGGTTGAGGTGTGACGCAAC